TGCTGGATATACACCTGAGAAGGGATATATAAATTGAATTTATTAGGTAACATACTCACTTAAAGCATTATTTTGCTAAATAACCCAATGCACATGCCTTGGCCCCTCTCTGGAGAATCTGATTCCATAACTCTGGGGTGGGGCACAGGGAGTGTAGTTTTACCAAGTGCCTCAGGTGATATATTTTTGTAATCAGATGAGTTTGTGTTGCAGTGATTTAAAGAATGCCTATGGACATTCCTATTACTAAGCACATACATAATTATCTTCAACCTTTTTTTTTTTCCAATCAGTCCAGACTTCTATATTGTTGTCTAGCATTTTCTTATTTTTCAGGTAAGTTAATTTTGCCTGTATATTAGTTTATTTCACCGAAGATGCAAAACTAACCAAAGCACACTGTTTGCAGTGTCTCACTTCCAAACACAGTGGCCCAGTCTGTTTTCTGATGGATACAAGTTTGCAGAAATTGAATGCGGATGAGAGAAAGAAAGGGTGAACTGGAGGCTAATTTAGGGTTGAGATAGCCAGGAAGGGCGGCAGGTTAAATTAAGAGGTTTAGACATGTATGAGTGTCAGAGCAAACACCACGTTGGTCCCTCTTCTTCAGTTCTAATTCCCAGGGGTCATCCAGTATGTGTGCATTTTTTTCATCTCTAAATTAAGAAGCGTGCAAGATTTAATCCATTGTAGGGAAGAGAACACTGGACTTTAGCCATTAAGCTGGTGATACCTGGGGAAAGATACAAGACTGACACTATTAGCTGATTCTGTATTTACTGTATTTATAAGTATAGTGTTGTCTGGTTTTGAGTGTACAAGTGTCTGGACTATTAAGTAGAGAACTGATTATCTTAGTTTACTTAATGGGACCACTGTCTCTCTAAGTCTCTGATTCACCCACACTGGGCTCCTTTCTGATCCTAGAATATGCTAAGTACTCTCCCACCTCAGGGTCTTTGCACTTGCTCATCCATCTGCCTGTAACACTCTTATCCCAAATATCTTCAGTGCTTGATCTCACTTCAGGTTTCTGCTCAAAGGTCATCTCATCAGAGAGGCCATCCCTGAGCACCTTATATAAAATAATTCCCCATTACTCTCAATCCCTTTAGCCTGCTTTGCTTCCCTTTGTAGCATTTATCATCATCTAACTTGTTATGTATTTCCTTCTTTATTGATTTACTGTTTCCTGGAACTACAATGGTAGCACCACAATGGCTGGCAGTTTGTCCTATTTGCTAATGAATCTCAGTGCCAGGATCAATGCTCAGTATATAGTGGCACTCAAGATATATTCGTTGAATAAATGAGTGGGTATTTTTATTGCTTCGAGGAAGATATGATTAACTCAGTATTGGTGATATTAAAAGATAATATAGGGAACTCCTTGGTGGTCCAATGGTTAGGACTCCATGCTTTCACTGCGTGGCCCGGGTTCAACCCCTGGTTGGGGAACTAAGATCCCGCAACCTGCGTGGCGTGGCCAAAAAAAAAAAAGAAAAGAAAAGAAAAGAAAAAAAAATTATATAGCTAAATGGAAACATATCCATTTATAAAACTAAAGAGTAGAAAGATTAATTAAAATATTTCATCCCATTACTTGAAATGCTACCCACATGAGGTATCTATAACTTTGGACATTTTCCTTTCTAGAATAATGGCTGGACTCCTTAAGACAAAACACACAGAATGACTAAAGGTAATCGTCCTAAGGCAAAAGCGGGGTGGATAGGGAGAAGGGGGATTTATGTGATATCTGTTACTGTTTCATCTTCCACTAGAGTGTAAGTCCCTTGAGGACATGGCCCACTTTATACGTCTTTTTATTCTCCTACAATACCTATCTGAATGTGTTGCAAATGGTAGGTAATCAGAAAACACATATAGGTAATGAAAAACACCTGTTTCAAATAAATCATATATATATATTCTGAATATTTTGGCAATAAAATAAGAGTTTCTAAATCTATCATTGGGCGGCTAGGATACACATGCTTGTTGACAAAGGTCATAAATCTCCACAAAATGTTAGAAAGGGGGAGCAGAAAAATTCTAAATATGTACAAAGACAAACTGTCCTAAAAATACTTTGTTTTAAATAGCGATAGCATCAACATTGCAGAACATAAAAAGCAGATCGTGTCAATCTGAAAACTTCACGACTATAAAAAAGATGATGCTACTTCAGTCCAGACTTGCTAACTGGAATTATCTTCGTATGCTATCCAAAAGCTTACCTACACTTTGATTGGTTTATAGAAAAAAAAAGTCCTTCGTGTATTCCTTTAGGTTAGTTCCAGAAAATACAGACAAGCCTCCTACAGGGATTTACCGAAAAGCTGATAAAGTTCAAGCTCCAGGACTCCCGTTTGCTCCGGCAGGAAGCTCCAGAAACAGGCTCACATGGGTTTTTCTTTTTTTGGTTTTTTTTTTTTTTTTTTTTTTTTAAGAGCCCTCACCCCTACTCCACCTAACACAATTGCATAAGCTTCAAGCTCATAAAACCTGGGCCCACCCCTGCCAGCCAGCCATTAAAAAACTAGGCTAGAATCTGCAAAAATGATCCAAAAATCATTTATTAATTTCAAGCATTTCTCCATAGTCTAGGCAAAGAGACGTAAATGGGGTTCAACAGTCTCTTTGAGGTATTGTTAGTATTACTTTTCCCAGGAAACGAAATGAAGTCTTGGAAACCATCGCTAGATAAAAGTTACTTTCATTAAGTGTAAGTATACATAACCCTAGATAGTTATTACCCATAAAAATTAGGTAATGTATCGCAGTGAACTAGATTGCTAGTTTTATTGCTTATTTTCTTTCTTTAAATTTATTTTTAATTGAAGTATAATTCACATTCAAATATTATTTTCAAGTGTACAACATAGTGATTTGATGTCTATATAGGTCACGAAACGATTCGCACAATAAATCTAGTTACAATCCGTCACCAAAGTTAACACAATATCGACTATATTAGAACTAATTTTCAATACTAAATAAATGATCTTCATTGGTGCTAAGTACAATCGGTTAAAAGCCAATCTGTTTTCATCCTAAATTCATTTGAGTCCCGTTGTATCACAAAACGAAGTGGTGCAACCGAATGTTAATCGTGTTAAATAAGGAATTACAGTAAGACTTATCCAAGAGTCACTAGATTCGCAACCATTTTTGACACGAAGATCGAAACAAACCAAAAAAACCGTGCTGCCATCTCGGCTTTTGGCTACTGAAGTTTTCAAGCTCGAGGAGTGAGTTCTTAAAGGTTACGGAGAGAATTGGGGGTGGGAGCGGGGGTACACTCAAACCCACACTTTCCCAGTCCCACCCCTGCTCCCGACCTCGGCCCGTGTTTGTACTGTAACTAGGTCCTCCCCTCCGGTGTGTAGCTCGCACTTAATTTTTCATTAGTGGGTAAAGTGGTACTAATATCTGGTAGTTTTTCTTAAGTATGATAGCCTGTGACGTTAGCTACACCTACCCTACCCGGGGCTTAACTTTGAGGATGGTCCCCTCCATCCCTGGGCAGGTCCACAGGGCATTCCTGCTGCCCCCCTCAGGGTCCCTCGATTTGGGACGGGTCCCAGGCCACTTCTCCAGGAGAGGCGCCGGCAGCCCGCGGCCTCCGGCCCTCCCCCCGCGGAAACGCCCTGTGGAAGGTCTCCTTGGGGTGGCCGCACCGCCGGGATAAAGCGACCAGGAAAAGCGGAAAGGCGGCCTCCACGCACTCCCGATAGGACGCGCCCGCCAGGAGGGGGAAGGCAGCGTCGCCACCGAATCCCGGGCAGGGCCGCGGGACCCACCTCCGGCTCCCGCTCGCTCCCGCCCTCCGCCCCACCTCCCCCTGGCAGCACAAAGCCGGCCGGGAGGCGGGGGCCAGGCCTGCTGGGAGGCCGCCTGGACGAGACGGGACCCGGGCCCGGCGCCCCGCGGCTCAGGCTGCCGAGCCCCGGCGCGTCTAGAGTTCCCGTCACGGACGGGGCGGACGCGCCCCCCGGCTGGCCTTAGGAGGCGCGGGAAGCCGGGCTCCCCGCCTTTTCAGGCGAGAGTCGCCTAGGGAGGCCCCGGCGCACTCGCTCCGTCCCGCTAGCCACGCCCGAGGTGGCGGCCTCCGGAGCGGGGCGCCTGGACCGGCCGGGCCTCGGAGGGCGGCGACCTCGCGAGGCCGCGGAGGCTGTCCGGGCGGGTCTGACTAGATAAGTTGCAGGCGCCCCTTAGCGCCTTACCGTGGCGCAAACTGGGGCCTCAAATCAATCCCCCTCGTTCCCGAAAGGCCCAGTCCTCCCGCACCTGCGTAAGGTGGCCAAGCCATTCGGGGGCGGGCGGGAGGGGGCGGGGGCACGGGGGTAGGGGCGGCCCCCGCTGCCCCCGAGACCCGGGCCGCTCGGCGCCTCGCCTCCCGTCGGGGGCGCACACGCGGGGGCGCACACGCGGGCGCGCACACGCACACCATCCGGCCCAGTGCGGGAAGATGGCCGTTTCTGCTGCAGGATAAAGGCTCTTTGTTGCGCTCGCACAAAAGCCGCCAAGACCCGCTTTTTTCAGCAGGCCCTTTGGGCAAATCGAAGGAACTCAGCTGAATTTCCAAATGGCCCTAGGAGCCTGAAGCGGTGGGAGCAACTAAAAGAGAGGGGGAATAACAGGCCTCCCGCCCTCTTCTACCAAAACCTCTGCCAATATACAAGGATTCGTCCTGGGAGACCGGGGCTGAGATCATTCGTAAGGGAGGAAGGAAAGAGGAAAACCTACTTTTAGTATCAAGGCCCAAAGGGGGTATTAAACATTCATATTCTTGCAGGGTGTCTCCCCTTAACCAGGGTAGAAACATAATCTGGAAAAGTCTGGATACACCAAAAAGAAAAAGAAAAAAGAAAGAAGAAAAAAAAAAAACCAACAATAGCAACCTAAAAAAAAAAAAAAAACCAAAAAACATAACAAACCAGTTGCCATCAACCCAAAGTGGTAGTAGCAGCAGCCGGCGCGTGTGATCCACTTACTTGTCCGACTCTTGTGACATGTTTGATCCAATGAACTCGCTCCCCTTTTCCTGGAGCCTCAGCCTCTGGTGAAACTGGACTTTCAAGTCTGTGCAGGTGAAGGTGTGTGAGAGCCCGAGATGGCAGAACAAGAGCTACAGGTAATTCTGCTTTTCCGTCCCCCCTCACCAATCTCGCTCGCTCGCCCGCTCGCGCCCTCACCTAGCCGGAAAGGTGGGATAAGGGGGGGCCCCCTCACATGGGGCCCGAGCTCGGAGGCGGCCGGGCGGCGCGGAGTCCTCCCGGATCGTGGCAGTGGGCAGCCACAGAGCACAAAGTGGCGGACTTGGGCGGCCACAGGTAACTTTCTCGCAAGGAGCTGAATTCTTTCACTAAAGGGTACAAGCCCGAGGGACGAGCTGCGCGGTGATTGGCTGCGGGGTTCCCTCAGGTGAGCTGCCATTGGCAGAGGCGCGCTCAGGTAAGGCCCTTCTCCAAGTGCAGGTAACTCACTCCGAAGTTTACCTGAGAGCAGCGGCGGCACGCTTGCAGCTCTGCGGCAGCCCGTGGGAGCCGAGGGTCAGTGCTTCGAGTAGACTTCATGCTACGTTCCCCTTCTTCCCGGAGGCCGGCCTGGGAAGGGGGGTGGGGGGTTTGGCGGGGGGTGGGGGGGGGGGGAATTGAGGGAGAGAAGTTAACAGGAAAAAAAGCAACACCTGCAACCACTAGGGATTGTGGGTCAAACGGAAGGACTAAGGAGAACTGAACTCGGGGATCCCAAGCCAACCGGAATCAAATGCAACCGCACCGCCACAAGGCTTTTAATACCCACATTAAGAAGACGGTTTGACAGTGTCGGAAGAGTACGGGACTGAAGTGTACGTTGTGCTCAGAGGGGGAGAAAAACACAAAGATCGCCGAGTCTGTTACGTAATTGCATTTTTAACATACTTATCCACAACAAACACTTTTCGTGTCCCGATGTGTAACAGATACGGTAGATTACTAGATTTACAAATAGGTGAGCATCCTTTCATGACCTAGACGGATAGGGAGTGGCATGGTTTTGATAAGGTGAAGAAATTTGGTTGAACAGACCCTAATATGGCTCAGACACACCACTTCCATCTTAACTCTGCAGCCTGGGATTCCAGAGCTGCAAACCACTGAATCCCTCCCATAAACCTGTTGTCATTTGACGTTTCCAGGCAAGCATCAACATTTACATTGTAATTCAATAGAAGCAGCGATTACAAAGGAAATTTATCCTTCCAGCTTAATATGGTTGCTACGGAAACAATTCAGAATGAAACTGACTTTTTTTGCAGTTTTGTTTCTCCTGGTTGGGAGCAACGAATTTGCAAACGTGTAATTTATAACCACTACTTCCAACGAGTATCTGTGGAAGTTCCGACAGTAATCTAGCCCATGCATATGAATTGTAGAAATAAAGAGGGCATGGAAAGCTTATCATGATTTATTTCGAATTAATACTACATTGACAGAGATGAAACAACTTCTATTTTAACCTGTATGGATCATGTATTTCCTGAAAATTACATTATGAGACAAGGTTTGGCTGTTCTGTGTTTCATTCTCAACAAATGAATTTCAAATTTTTTTCTTACTTTTTAAAGATAGTATAAGCACACACGCTTACTTTTTAAAGATAACATGATACTTTAAGATAATGCAGTACCCACCTCTCATTTGCCTTCTTAACCTCCTGTCTAGAGGCTACCAAATTCCACTTTTAGCCATCTATTCTGTCATTACCTTCCTATTTCTAAATAATTTACACAGCTATCCCTTGATTTATCAATTTAGATGGTGTGTTTTGTCCACCTGTTGCCTTAGATAAGGACTTAACTCTATCAAACCCCATCTAGTTTCATCTTCCACCATTCATCCAATATATCTCTTTCACAGTTTAGGGATAGCAAGCAGTCAGTGACTGTGCAAATACTAGTCACAACAGAGCAACTATGGTTGTTTTCTTTCTTATAAAAACCTTTTATCTGTTTACTCAGTTTGTGATGTTTCCAACCTGATATTTTTTCTACAACATGTCTATCAGATAACTGTCACATTTATTTTCCAAATGATCAATCGATCCCATTCCCCACCCCCCATCCCCCTCCAAAGTCCACTGTCCTTCTCTTCCAATGGAGATAAGTTCCTCTCTGGACCTGCTACTCCGTTGTCATCCTGGGACATCTCCAGAGTAAGAACCACATCTCTCTGCCCTGTGCCTTTTTTCTTGGTTTGCTGCTTCATTTTCCATGGCATATGTTCCAGTAATAGCCCAAGAATGGGTACAGAAGGTAAAATTTTAAATGTCTTTATTCACCTCTTACTTTTTAAAGAGTTTGACCAAGTGTAGAATTCTAAGTTGAAATGTTTCATTCATAAGTTCATAAAAATTGCTCTTTTATCTTCTAGCATCCAATGTTGCCATTGAGAATTCGGATGCCATCTTGATTCCCATTCCTTTGTGATCTGGAGTTTTTCTTTCTAAAAACTTACAGAATAATCTCTTTATCTCTAATATTCTGAAATTTCATGATTATGTGCCTTGGTTACCTAATATTCTGAAATTTCATCATGCTGGAGGCTCTCATCAAACGTTTGCAAACCTTTGACTCTCCCTTCTTACTTAAGAATGAGGTCATAAAACCCCACTGGAAACCACACATAGGGGTGGGAGGGAGTGTGCTCACTCATTGGTGGGCTCGCTGTGTGGTGATCAGATAAAAAGTTCACCTTTCCTTAGGAAGATCCCCTAAATATCAGAAACTAGAGGTCTGTTCTTCTGGGCTCTTCAGCGTCTCAAGAGAAGTATCTGCTATCTCTTGCCTGAGGGAAAACTCACCAGGCTGCCAGTCTTCTCAACTCATATGCAGTGTATCATTCTTTCTTTCCCGTAGGTGCCTTACTCCTGCCCTTCTTTCTGCCTGATGCACAAGCCTCTCTCCTGTTTTTCCTGCTGGAGTTGTAATCACCTGCCTCCAAGAAATGGCACAGGGGACCTGAGCTGAGGATCTAACAACTCCAAGTACCCACATTCACTCAGTCTCGGCCTCTCACTTCTCCCTCACTTCTGGGATCCTGAGACATCTCACCAGCATCTCTCTCTCTCATGATCTCTGGCATGTCCAAGACCCAGGCCTATCTGGTGTTTTATAGAATAATCTCCTGAGCTGTTTCTGTACTGACCTCTAGGATGACATTAGAGTAGCTTCCGATGTTCCATTAAACCAGTTTCCAGGGCTTCCCTGGTGGCACAGTGGTTAAGAATCCGCCTGCCAATGCAGGGGACACGGGTTCGATCCCTGGTCCGGGAAGATCCCACATGCCGCGGAGCAACTAAGCCCGTGCGCCACAACTACTGAGCCTGCGCTCTAGAGCCCACGAGCCACAACTACTGAAGCCCACGTGCCAGAAGTACTGAAGGCTGCGTGCCTAGAGCCTGTGCTCTGCAACAAGAGCAGCCACCACAATGAGAAGCCCGTGCACCGCAACGAAGAGTAGCCCCCGCTCACCTCAACTAGAGAAAGCCTGTGCGCAGCAACGAAGACCCAACCCAGCCAAAAATAAATAAATAAATTTATAAAACAAACAAACAGTTTCCACTCTTCCATCCAGACCATCTTCCAGAATTGTGTTGAAATATATCCATTGCAGATGACCCCACCTCCATCCTCTTTGTCCCTGTGGATTTATCCTTTTATGTTCCTTTAGTGTGCTTTTCAGAAGACAGTGAACATAAACAAATGTGGGTCAATCTGCCATCTTTAATGGGAAGCCATTTCCAAAACTATCCAAACTGTCCCAGATTTGTTTGTGCAAACAAAACAAGAATTTGTGGGCAACCCTTTCCTCTTTTTGGTCAGTGGTGGCCAAGATTCCTTTCTTCCTCTCCAATATCAAATAACTCAAGTTTGATTGCATCACTTAGTATCCCCTGATTGGCTACCTACTGCTACATTGATTGGTTAGTTTATGAAGGATAAGGTCCTCCCTGGACCATTTTAAATAATCGACCATGAAATTACCTCTGTTACCCAATTGTTTTGATTCTTTTGGCAAAAGAGTTGTAAGTGACTACGAAACCCTGCCACACCCATCATGAGAATGTACTTCTCTCTCTCATTTTAACAGTCTTCACAGGATCTTCACCAGGAGTAGATTCCATCTCAAGAAACCACTTTCTTTGGTCAACTCAGCATTCATGAAAGTTTTATCATCAGATTGCAGCAATTCAGTCACATCTTCAGGCTCTACTTCTATTTCTAGTTCTCTTGCTATTTCTACCCCATCTGCAGTTACTTCCTCCAATGAAATCCTGAGCCCCTCAAAGTCATTCGTGGGGATTGAAAGCAACTTCTTCCCAACTCCTGATAACCTTGATATTTTGACCTCTTTCCATGAGTCACCTCATCATGAATGTTCTTAATGGCATCTAGAATGATGAATCCTTTCCAGAAGGTTTTCAGTTTACTTTGTCCAGATTCATCAGAGGAATCTGTGTCTGTGGCAGCTATAGCCTTATGAAATGTACTTCTTAAATAGTAAGACCTGAAAGTTGAAATGACTCCTTGATCCATGGGCTGCAGAATGGATGTTGTGTTAGCAGGCATGAAACAACATTCATCTCATTGTACATCTCCATCAGAGCTCTTGGTTAACCAGGTGCATTTTCAGTGAGCATCAATATCTTGAAATGAATCTTTTTTTTCTGAGCAGTAGGTCTCAACAGTAGCTTAAACATTCAATCAACCATGCTATAAACACATATGCTGTCACATAGGCTTTGTTGATCCATTCGTCGAGCACAGTCAGAGATTTAGCATAGGGCCCTAGGATTTTCAGAATGGTAGATGAGCACTGGCTTCAACTTCAAGTCACCAGCTGCATTAGCCTCTATTAAGAGAGTCAGCCTTTGAAGCCAGGCGTTGACTTCTCTCTAGCTATGAAAGTTCTGGTGACATCTTCTTCCAATACAAGGCTTTTACATCCACATTGAAAGTTTGATGTTTAGTGTAGCTACCTTCATTAATTATCTTAGCTAGAGGGACTTCCCTGATGGCTCAGTGGTTAAGGATCCATCTGCCAATGCAGGGGACACGGGTTTGAGCCCTGGTCCGGGAAGATCTCACATGTCACAGAGCAACTAAGCCCATGTGCCACAACTACTGAGCCTGAAAGCCACAACTACTGAGCCCACGCACCTAGAGCCCATGCTCCACAACAAGAGAAGCCACTGCAACGAGAAGCCCGCGCACCACAACGAAGAGTAGCCCCTGCTCGCCGCAACTAGAGAAAGCCCACACGCAACAAAGACCCAACGCAGCCAAAGATAAA